GGGTTTAGGGTTTAGGGATGCTTTTCGGGAAACCCTAAACCCTAAACCCTAAACCCCGAAACCCTACATGGCACTTTAACTTGGGTTTTGAAGCCTAAGCTTTGGAGTCCATACCTCAACGGCGGCTTCGGGTTCAGGGTTCAGGGTTTAGGGCTTAGGGCTTAGGTTTAGGTTTTTTTTACGGTTGCCATGCGCATCCAAGTGCGTTTGCGTGTCTTGTGAACAAAGCGGGCGAGCGCGTCGGCGCAGTCTCCAATTGTAGGCTATATTCTGGGTGTATCGCAAGGTATTGTTTAAGTCCAAGCAAATCCCGTCTATGATCTGAGGCGGTGTGGTCAAGGTGCTGGTGTAAGATTATCAAAGCTAATTCCGCTGTTTGCTCCAACCAGTACCTTGGTGGATGTCCTCTTCTAGCAGATTTCGTGAACTTAGTTCTATCCTTATATCCGGGCGAGAAAACTATATGATGGAGTGGGTCCGTAGGCGGTGTAACCAAGAGTCTGCACAACTGTGAGAGTTGTAGGTTTAGGGTTTAGGGCTTTAGGCTTTATGTTTTGGTTTCAGGGTTTGGGCTGTTTAGGTTTAGGATTTAGGGTTTAGGCCGTTTAGATTTAGGGTTTAGGGCTTGCAGCAAGCTACTAGAACCCATCTCTTGTCTGGGTTTCGCATGCCTCCCTTGAGAAATGATCGAGAAGCTGCCAGCGCTAGGACGCGGTAGGGTTGCAGGCGTCCCCAAGCCATCGATACCCCCTAAACCTAAACCCTCAACCCCTACAGATCCCTTTTGGCGACCTTGGTTGAAGTGAAGCTTAATATAGCCTTAACAATTACCTATAATATTTTGGGGGGGTCCATTACAATTATGGTAGAATGGGCCCCAAAACCCTACTCTAATTACTAAGGCCCCTATATTAGCCTTGTAGGGGTACTTGGATCATCATCCCAAGGGCTGCCCCCAGATATAGCAGTACTTGCTACAGGGTTTTGTGTTTGGGGCTTAGGGCTCAGGTTTATGAGGTGTAAAATACACCCCAAAGCTCTGTTCTAAACTAAACCCTAAACCCTAAACCCTAAACCCTAAACCCTTATGGAGGACTCTGAACCAGTAGCCTGCAGGTATACTGTAACCTTCACCCCTGGCAAGGCTCTGGGGAGGATCTCTAAGCAGGGGCTTCGGGGGGGTGTTGTCAGGAGTTTGTCAGGGTTTAAGACTTCGTGCTTATTTAGAGTTTACGAGTTGTGAGTCAGGGTTTAAGACTTCGTGCTCACTTAGAGTTTAAGAGTTTTGAGGGGGCATCAAGTGTATAGTGACATACAGCGTTTTTGAGGGGTTTGGGGTTTAGGTGGTTGAGGTCTTGGGTGGTACAGGGCTTAGGATGAATATGGGAAGCCTTGAGTTGCAGGGTTCCGGGTCTACGGTTTCTGGTGTGCGAGATTGTTGTGTGCCCTTTCGCTCCGTGCACAGGAGCAGGTCGAGAATTTAAATCGGCTCTTTTAATTGTTTGGGATGTTTGGAGAGTGTGGGTCCTTGCTGGTTTAGTTTTCTTTTGCTGTTGGTATGGTTCGTTTTGCACTGACTCTTGCTGTGAGTACTAAAGTGTTTGGGCGTGCTTGGGAGAGAAGTAAATACTATGTCTACCTATTGGAAGTCGAGTTCCTTAGTCAGAACTCTGCTGTCGTAGCCATCTGGTTCGCGTTGAGCCACAGACAGGGCAGCGAAGGACCCTAAACCCTAAACCCTAAACCCTAAACCCTAAACCCTAAACCCGATAGGATTCAGGCTGATGTGTCATGTTTCAGATGTGTGGCGCGCTCCCAGAGATCGTGTCCCAGGAATCTGAACATGCAGTCTAACCATATAATACAAATCACTGCTATTGTGATTGCTACTACTGTTATTATTTTATCGCTTATTGTTGCTATGATTGTCGTTATATGATTATTGTTACTGTTATACAGGTTAGTATCATGGAGCCTAAACCCTAAACGCTAAACCTGCAGGGATAAATTTAGGGTTCAGAGCCATCTACGGCTCTCCTGAATGACTCTTCTTGCACCACCCCAGCTTCATTGATCTAATCCTGTCATATGGCGCCCTTCGAAATTAGGAGAAACAATTTTGGGGTATGTTGCAAAAGTGCGTCAGGAGGACGTCGAAACGAGGGCAATACCCTAAATCCTAAAACCTAAACCCCAAACC